CCGGCCGGGGCTCGAACTCTCGACCTCCCACACAACACAGTCCGGCGCTCTAACTAATTGAGCTAACTGGGAGGCTAGCTCAATAGAGAGAGAGAGAGAGAAAATCAATATAACATCACATGTTATACTGCACAAGGCCAGAGAGAGAGAGAGAGAAAACACAGTCAACCACCCTTTGTACGTGAGATTAAGTTAGAGAGAGAGAGAGAGAMTGCAGTTTGCTTCTTTTACCTTTTGAATTCATTTCACAATATACCACAGGCGGCCCAGGCTCTGTCACAGGCTCTTTCACAGTGGATTATTAAGAGAGAGAGAGAGAGATTCAGTTGGACTTGCTTTTGAGCTCCGCAAATTTAAAGAGAGAGAGAGAGAGAGAAGAAAAAAAAGTCTTACCTTCATACAGAGTAGTCTGTGAGAGAGAGAGAGAGAGATGAGGTCATTTTGCTGTGTTTCAGCTTAACGTCCTAGTAGAGAGAGAGAGAGAGAAAGGTAGGAAAGCTCTGTCTCACAGACGCTCGCCAAAAAGAGAGAGAGAGAGAGATTAAATACTTCCCCTTGAATCGAAACTTGGCACCACAAAGAGAGAGAGAGAGAGATGCTGTTTTGCTAAACATTGGCCACAGTTGACAATAGCCATTTAGCAAAATATTCCCTCCACATGTTGGTTGGTATTTATTTCTGACTAATCATTCATATCGTGGGGCTACCTGTTGGGCCTAATTTTGCTAGTGTCCAGGCTGACCGAGAGAGAGAGAGAGAGAGACTGCGCAGGATTTGACCAACGCGCATTCTAATTGCGAGAGAGAGAGAGAGAGATTGAGATTTTTGCTGGGTTGGTTGCTTGACAACCCAACAGAGAGAGAGAGAGAGATGGTGAACTTGAAGGGCAACTATCACTCCAAAGGCAAAAGAGAGAGAGAGAGAGAGCAAAAAGAATCTCTAAGCTGTTCCAAATTGAAACAGGCCTTCCAAATTGATTCAGATGCCGAACTTTTTTTTCATGTACTTAATTCGATGTATTAGGCTTGGCTCATGAAAAGTTCTGCGTCTGAACCACAGGAATTGCTTTTTGGAGTTACTGTAGAAAAAATGTGATATCGTGCCTGTGGAAATGGACTCCTTGGATACTTTTAAAAGTCCTGGAAAAGTCCTTGAATAAAAAGTCAGCAAGCCTGTATGAACCCTGTATATATGTTTTGTTTTTTAGGTTTATGAGGTTGGGTAAGGTGGTTGAACCTTGTAGGGAATGCTATATCCTTTTGTTCTAACACCTGTTTGTATTCTATATGTACAAATCTTGAAATAATAAATAAGTAAGTTCGAAGTGAATAGCAAGTACTATTCACCTCAGAGCAGCTGAAGAGATAATTTGCAACAATTTTTTGGTATGTTTAGAGAAATAAAAGAGAGAGAGAGAGAGATGTGAACCTCAGAGTCGGTGAAGGTGGTAGATAATTATAGAGAGAGAGAGAGAGATGGTAAATATCCACCACTATTCACTTCAACATTGGTGAAGAGAGAGAGAGAGAGAATGTGAACATCTAAGTATTTTTCAACAGTAGAAACGAAAGAGAGAGAGAGAGAGAGGATTAAGTCAGTTATCATTGTCTTCTTCAAACATGTAAGAGAGAGAGAGAGAGAACAGAATAATCTTACAGCATCATGTTTTGCCCTGTATAAGAGAGAGAGAGAGAGATCCATAGAAAAAGAGAGAGCCGTGGTAATCAGTCAAAGAGAGAGAGAGAGAGAGACATTTTAAGTGTACTTACAAAGCAAAAGAACTCAACCCAGAGAGAGAGAGAGAGATGACCATCTTAAGTTAACCATCGTGAACAATGTCTTACAGAGAGAGAGAGAGAGACAAGGTCTGATTTAATTGTTTTTCAGCCTGGTTGGAGAAGAGAGAGAGAGAGAGACCATGACAGTGATGATTATGATACATCTAGGAGCACTTAGAGAGAGAGAGAGAGAGAAGGGTATAAAGCGATCGAATTTATCAAGGTGCAATAAGAGAGAGAGAGAGAGATATCGACACTCCCTAAAGAGGGTTTTTCGGTGACAATGAGAGAGAGAGAGAGAGATGTGTTGGCTGATTATGTAACCAAACCACCAACCACTGAGAGAGAGAGAGAGAGAGTGTCTAGTGTGGGTCACTTTTTACTTCTTGTTATTGCAGAGAGAGAGAGAGAGAAGATCATGGTAATCAATAGTCTCGTTAGTTTGCTTCTTAGAGAGAGAGAGAGAGAAATTGTAAGGGTAAATGGCTATCATTTGCAAAATATCTAGAGAGAGAGAGAGAGATGTTTTGTTAACAAGAAATGTTTGGAAAACTCCCGTGTAGAGAGAGAGAGAGAGACAGGTCAACTTCTGAATGACATTCTCTCTTTAAATGTAAGAGAGAGAGAGAGAGACCATAGCTGCCTTTGACACCATGTCTTTTGTTTATGAGAGAGAGAGAGAGAGAGATTATTTAAACAAAGTTTAGCTGTTGTTTAACAAAACCAAGAGAGAGAGAGAGAGAATATTGATTTAGCCAAACCTTTTGTCTGAACTTTTATTAGAGAGAGAGAGAGAGAGAAGGCAGAAAGCTATCAGTGGATGACATTTATTTAATTAAATCAAACATCTTTTAGAGAATCCCTGAGGCCCACTGCTTGTGTCAAACCCTGAGAGAGAGAGAGAGAGATGTAAATMACTGGCTGTGAGTTTGAGTTAAATGAAAAAAGAGAGAGAGAGAGAGACTTTATTGGTTTATGCTTTGTGATATAAATTACTGATAAGAGAGAGAGAGAGAGATGGTCCTACATCTGACAGGTGATGATAGCTTTTGACCCAGAGAGAGAGAGAGAGACAAGTTGCGATGAATGGTTCTTAAGCCTCTTTTTGTATAGAGAGAGAGAGAGAGAGTAAATTTTGTTCTGAGGAGAAGCTTGCCCCAGAAACTAGAGAGAGAGAGAGAGAACTATTTTGAATTACAAGTTAACACCCATCATGGTCTGAGAGAGAGAGAGAGAGATAATCTGAGCATTCATTGCTTGATCTAAGTACAGTTGCAGAGAGAGAGAGAGAGAAAGAATACCTTGTGTATAGCTCCGAAATGTTTCAATAGAGAGAGAGAGAGAGAGAAAAATAGATCTGAATCTTGGGTACAACGTAAGTAATTGAGAGAGAGAGAGAGAGAATTTGAAACTGGCTGACCTTCTAGTCAAACKTTTGGCAAGAGAGAGAGAGAGAGATTAAAGGTCAGGGTGTTGTTCGCCATCTCAAAACATGAAGAGAGAGAGAGAGAGAACAGTAAATGTAAAGCAGCTATGCTTTGCCATTTACCTAGAGAGAGAGAGAGAGATTAAAATATTTACTGGTTACAATAGTGGCATAAATGTAAGAGAGAGAGAGAGAGATCTACAGTATACCCTTACACAAGCTATACATTTCAAATAGAGAGAGAGAGAGAGATAAAATTAAAGAAAGTTGATTGCAATGGTTAACTTCAAAGAGAGAGAGAGAGAGAACTGCGTCATTCCTGCTTAGCAATTTCTTTTTTATGTTAGAGAGAGAGAGAGAGACTTTTGCACACATATTTTTTCTCATTGTTTTCACATTCAGAGAGAGAGAGAGAGATAGTTTGATTCACAATTTTGCTTTGTTTAATTTCATTCAGAGAGAGAGAGAGAGATCAGAGTCTGTTAAGTTTGACATCATTTGTTTCACTGTAGAGAGAGAGAGAGAGAACCTTCGCGTTTACAAGTCATATAAGGTTTGTAAGTGTAGAGAGAGAGAGAGAGACATTTCCTTTGTTGTTTTGCATTTTTCTATTCCTTCTAAGAGAGAGAGAGAGAGACTTGTAATCATTTTGTTCTTTATAGCAACCACGATCAAAGAGAGAGAGAGAGAGATTCAAGGCATTTACCAGTTGAAACCTGGACTTTGGTTGAGAGAGAGAGAGAGAGATGAAAGAAAGTGCAT